CGTTCCAAACCGAAGTGCTCAAAACTGACCATTTCAAAGGGCCCTTCGGAATGAAGGATTTCGAAGGGTACAACTGATGGACACTTCGGTCTCCCATGATCCTTTGCGCAGATTCTTTGCATGATGACGGCGCCTCCGTGTGGGCACGTGATGATGACGCAGAAGGGCACTTCAAGAAACGGCTGTTTGGTCCCCTACACCCTTCAACCCTTCGAAGCTCTCACTCCGGCAGGTAAACCCTTTGAAGGGATTAGGGCATAGGGATAAGCCCCTCCGAATGGAACGCAGGGCTTAGTCAGGATAGCGCGCCATATTTAATTTTTGGCAGGAATGAAAACGAGGCTGTGAGGGATAGAAGTGCCTTTAGTGATTGCACTGTTGTTCTTTACGGATAAAAAAAAACTTTCAGTCGACAAACACTCCAAAACAACAAATAAATAAATAAATTTTGAAAGTTGTGAGTTGTGAAAATGATGTGATTTAAGACCTTTATAGAGTGCTTGCCATTGTAAAGACTGTAAGTCTAACACTCACAGCCTCGCTTTCATCTGTGATAGATTCATTATGGCGTCCAACCTGATAAAGTGGTTTGAAATGACAGGATTTCACAGAGCAATGGCAATGGTAAACATGACCCTGTTCAAACCTGACATGCGAAATCTAACTTAATCTCATTAACTATGAAAAAATGAAATGAAATCACATCAACATGAATCACTGAGAAATACAAAATTACACATACTGTCTTTCACATTGTTTTAGCATTTCAAACCGCTTTGATATTTTATCCAAATGCAACAGCATTTTCAAGTGATTTAAGACTTTTTAAGACCTCTGAGTGATTAGTGCCAAATCTCAGGCTGTACAGATGAAGCGCGTCTAAAAGCCATCTTGCATGTTCAAATTCAGACTGTTAGAGGTCAAAACTCAACAAGGAGAGGACGAGCCCCTCAGGAGGGCCGTAGAGGTCAATCAAATCATCTTTACTAACAGTGCGCTAAAGAGATCTGTATTCTCTAGAAATTCCTTCTTATGAAGAGGTTAAAGGTTCAACTATTTTCGGTGTGCATTCAAAATAAAAATCTAGACCACATTAACAACACCGCATCTGTTAAGATCATCTGTAGGACGACGCCACTTGAAATGTACCTTCTCATACACAAAATATCAGAAGGCATTTGAGTAATGCCACATACTGCATGTGAATGCTTACACGCCAGCGCCACACAGTGGTCATCTGAGGAATGGCCACAATTCTAGTTTAAAGACTCACCATCTTATCAGTGAAAATTATTTTGGGACATATTTTGGCATTATTTAACTAAATCTGAATACACCCTGTGTGACCTACAACAGCCCTAAAAAAACTTTTACTCTCCATTTAGAAACCTTTTAACTTGGCTTAAAATTAAAAAAATATTTCCCCAATATTAAGCAACAAAACTGTTTTCAACATTGACCATATTTAGATATGTTTCTTGAACAGCAAATCAGCATATTAGAATGTTTTCTGAAGAATCATGTGACACTGAAGACTGGAGTAATGATGCTGAAAATTCAGCTTTGCATCACAGGAATAAACTATATTTCAAAACATATTCAAATTGAAAACAGTTATTTTAAATGGTAATAATATTTCATAATATAAGAGTTTTTGCTGTATTTTTTATCAAATAAATCCAGCCTTTGTGAGCATAAGAGACTTCTTTCGAAGACATAAAAATGTTAATAAATGTGAGCCTGGAGCACAAAACCAGTCTCAAGTCGCTGGGGTATATTT